TTTTTTTTTTTGGATACTAATTAAAAACTAATATTGATGGGAATTCTTGTCTGTGAAATTTGGTTGCATACGAAGGGTTTTTTACGGAAGACAGGTTCATGATCATGATATTGTCGGACATCATTTAACCATTCAATATCATCAGATCGTGGACGCATTGTTGTATGTTCGGATATTTGGCTTAAATTTTTAAATGATGAAAAATCTGCTGATGTATTTGATGTACTATTGTTGTTTGTTGTTGTTGTTGATGATCTGAAATGATTTCAATGTTTCCATCTTTTATGCAATCCAAAAAAATTTATAACCTTTTATGATAAGTTTTCTTCTTGCATTCATGGCATTCTTCTATTTTTTATTCTAATTTTTAAAATTTGGAATGTATTCATGGTGTCTAATTTTGTGATATTACTAATGTATGATTAATTAATGATTAATTGATAATTAAATATTTTGATACAAGTAAAAAAACCTTCCACTATAATTACTGCTAGAAAGAATACAATCATCCTGGCTTGTGGTACTTTCTTCACTGTGTTCATTATCACCAGTTGGATAGCTTAGACTAAACGATGAACGAGTACCAATTGTTCTAAAATATGATTCAATTACGGTAATATACAGTACAGTTATTGTTGATAATAAAAATATGTAAAATTGATAGATATATATATATATATATATACATATAGATTAAAAAATTATTTGTATGTATCCTTATCAAGTGCTAATCATTCTTATCAGTTTGTCTAATCTGATGCTGAATGAGTACAATATATCAAAGAATTACTAATCCTTATCACCACTCCATTTTGAAATTATCTATTATTAAAAAAAAGGCATAATTTTTAATAATTATGCATATTAATTATTATGTATTACGCCAAAACCTTCTGATCTTTGATAAAAGATAAGATATGAGATTTTTTATCACTAGAAGTGATGGATAAATGAGAACTAACGTTGTCCATGAATTCGTTTCATCCATTTCTTTGCTATCCTCCAAATGTTCGACTTTTCCTTCTCTATCATTGGACTAAATAATTTTTATAATTTTTGTTTCTTCTAAAATGTTATCTTATATTTAGGATATCATATCATATCATATCAGTTTCCTGTTCTTTTAAAAATTAATTCTTTTTGATTCCATATCATATCATATCAGTTTGTTTGTTCATCTAGGAATTAATATTTTATATTTAATACTGATATGACTTAAAAAAAAAAAAAACTCCTTCGCATTATGAAAAGAAGTTGTATTTTTTTGATATTCCTGCGTAATTTTACCGTTTCCGGTATTAATTATCAGTATGTTTGATATGATAAAATCAATAATAGTATTATTAAATGATTCTATCTGATCTATTCGTCAAATCGATTTACATTATCAATCATATTGAACCTGTGAAATAATTAATTTTTAAAATTCAAATAAAAACCTTAGAAAATGATTTGCTTTTCTTCTTATACAGTCCATATGATAATGAATGACTTAAAGCAGATGCTTTGATATGATTTCGTTTCAGCACATTCCCCATTGTATTGCAATCTAAATTATCAGTTAGTTATCAGTTAAGTATAAATTAGATTAGAGTAACATATTTTTTTTTTTTAGAATATTTATGATAACAAAATATTTCATCAATATAATATTATCATTTATTAATGCATGATAACATGATAATATAATCGAAGTTTAAATGAAATTTAACTGATAGTTTGAACAAAATACTACCGTATCGTTTACTTTCATACAAATGTATGAATTAGTAAATAAAATTTCTATTTCGTTTGTTTTATACTATCATTTTAAACATAAAATATGCAAATTTCCTAAAATGAATTGCTAAAAAAAAACGAATCAAATTGAATTTTCATTTTCCGCCAAAAGAATAGTTGAATTTGAATTCTTGTTTAAAATGTAAAAAAAAAGTAACGAAATCTTTTTTATCAATTTATCATATGTGATGGTGCAGAGAGAAAGTGTTTAAAGATATGGCTAGTGATAAGATAAATTTGTATGTTAATTGATCAATCAAGGAAAGATAACACAAATATCTTTCAAAGATTATAGCAAATTTTTGTGGAAAAAAATTGATTCCTAATAGTTGTATTAAAAACAACACTAATCTAAGTCTTGTTAAGATCACATTTAGGCCAAATTAAATATTTTGGCCAACTTTTAGGCCATTTATTTAGGGCAAATTGTGAAGAATTTCACATATAGCCAATAAAATGTGACACATATATACTATATGAATTATTTCAAATCCACAATAAAATGCCCTTCGTCATGGCAAAGACAATAAGGTTGTACCAAAATTTTCGAAAAACTTTGAAGATTTTAAAAAATTTCAAGAATTTCAAAAAATTTAAATTTCAAAAAATGAAATAAGCTTACTGAATATTTTTGAAATTTCTCTACAGCAAAATATAATAAAACAGTACAATGCGATCAATATTTAGAACAGAATATCGGTGACAGATAGCTATTTAACTGTCACCTAACACATAGTTACTTGTGACTACCTGTACAATTACCTATCATCAGTAATAGTGTTTTCAATTCGATTAAATCTGTACTATTAACTATTCTATGAAAGATTAAAAAAAAACACCCAATTTACCGTATACCATTTTAGTGATCGCAAAACTTTCGAAATAAAATTTTAATCATTTCAAATTAAATATTATTAAATAAGTACCCTAAAATTAGCACTAGTATGAAAAAGTTTCATTTTTTTCATAAATTAATTCTTTAGAAATATGACGCTTTAAATTATCAAACTTTCATCCGTCATCATCATCATCATCATCATCATCATTGTCTATCATTGTCATCATTGTCATCATCATCACCATCATAATCATTGTTATCAATTATAACGATGAACTCAGTAATGGTCCTTTAATCAAATAATGATTGCCTAAATTTGGAAGAAAAAAAATTATTCTTTTGCTTTGATTGTTTTTTGGTTAATTTTTAGATATTTTATTTAGAAATTACACTAAAATGAAATGCTAAATTAATTTCGATAAACTTGTCAAAATCAGAAATTAATCGGTTTTACAAATTTTACACTTTCAAAAATATAAACAAGATTGCTTGTTAAAGTTAATGTTATGTATGCATATATATATATATATATATAGGAATGAATGGATTTATTTTGTTTATTGTTTTCATAGAAGAAAACTTGTCACTTTTAAATGTCATCAAAATTAACCTTTCACTTCCTTATTATTATTACCGTTATTATTGCATATTCATATGCTTTTACTTCTGCAAAGGTAATTGATTCATTTCTCTTTTTTTTTTTTTTTTATTTTTGCTTATCATTGATAATACTTCAACTTTTACTTCAACTTTAATACTTCAACTTTTTTATTTGAATTATCAAAATTATTAGAAATCATTTAAATGTAATTTTCTAACGCAAACACTAGAGTGATATCGTTTGATCGGTTATTCGATGTTACCGTAAGTACCATATATTACCGTAACTACCAGAAATATCTACTCATCTGATAGTATTTGCGTGGTGAAGTTCTTTTTTTCTTTTTTTTTTAAATTTCTTGCAATGCTTCACATATTAGCTTTACAATAATTTAGGTACTGTAAACATATAAAGACATTATAAATTTTAGCCAATTTATAGTTTACTTTTTTATTTTAAGAAAAAAAAGATTTAAAATAGTAATTAGAAAATCATTTTAGATTATAATTTACTTATGAAAAAATCGGTATTTAATTTAATTTCTTTTTTTTTCTATTTCTTTGCAGAATGATATACCAAAAAATCATTCTATAAATGATATCAATAAAACAATTGATCAGAATAATACCGCACAAACAGTTGAATTAATAACTGAATTGATTATTGATGCTGTCAAAGAACACGAAAAAATGGAAGGAAAAATTAAAAATGGAACCGAAATTAAAATGAACAAAAATATTGGAAATGAAACATTGGAAAAATATCCTACTGATGGTATTGGTGGTATTGTTGATGGTGATGATGATGATGATAATAATGATAATGATAGTGATAATGATGGCAATAATGATGGTGATAAAATGAATCTGTCAATTGTGGTAAAACCAATCATTCGTGATTTAATTGTTGAAATGAAAAAGCACTTAGCTAAAAAAGAACATGGACTTAGTTTATTTGGCGCTATTCAACGTGCTATTGGTGATTTTTGGGTTGCTTTTGTTAATACATCAAAAACAATTAATAATTTTTTAGATTTATTATTTGCACCAATTTCGGCAGCTTTGAAAACTCCCATCAATTGAAAATTAAAAAAGAAAAAAAAGCAACAATTTTGGGAGTTAAAATTTGCATAATTTTTATCATAATATCTTATCAATTAAATGATGCATGATATCATTTACAGAATAAAAAAAAAATTAACGATTAATAATAAAAAATATCGTTATCAATTATCATTTATTCATATCTTAAAATGATAAAAAATGATATTTCTTCTCTTTTGAAAGTTTTAAAAAAAATTTGAAAAAAAAACCTTTTTTCCACTTTTTTTTTTTAAAAAATTTAAGATATGGATTGATAATTGATGTAGAAATGTTTGTTACAGTCTTTTATAAATTATCATCCCTATTAATGCCTCATTTATTTATTTTCATTGCTTGAAATATTCCCACTCTTTTAACAGATCATCAAGAATTCTTGAATGACCTGGTCATCGAGAATTCTCGAAGGAATGGAATATTTCTTGCGACACATCTTATTCATATATATGTACCAAGCATTATTCATAATTTGTAATTTGTCATTTCTTTTTTCACTTCTTTTTTATAATCATCAAATAAGGTTGGTGGATTTTTGAATTTACTAATGTCATTTTAAACAAAACTTTAACCACTTAATTAATTATAAATCAAATATTCTGGCTAGTTTGTCACCAACACTAATTTCATTTATATTATTCACTTTTATGAAAATAAAGTTTGTATTGTTTAATTCTTTTTGTTGTTGCAAGCATTTAAATATATCCGGAATATATATAAATGTGTATTTCCGGAAATATGCAAAAAAAAAATGTCATTTTAGTAAAGAGCATACTGTTTTTCCATTCCAAAACATCTGCTAATCATAAATATTTTGATATGATTCAGATTTGTGCTGCCACTAGCACTTAACAAAATACATCCGGAAATGTGACAAAAAAAAAACAATCCTTCATCCGGAAATGAGGCAAAAAATTATCCCATATCTGGAAATAGAATAAAAAGTGAAACTATCCCGTATCTGGTAATACGATAAAAAAGAAATCCGAAAATAAGACAAGAAAGAAAATTGTCCCGGATCCGGAAATAGAATAAGGAAGAAAATTATCACATCAATAAAATACAAGTTATTTTCGACAAGTTGATCATATTTCAACATGATACCTGATCTGTCCCATTAATGTGGTGACAATTCCAAAAATGCTTTTTGATTTTTTTCAACATTGAAATAAATTTGACTTTTTTGTTAATTTTCCTATTGGAAAAATTGATTTGTACAATTTTTTTTTTTCTTTCAATCAACCAATCATTTTTTTTTTGCTAATTATTACAAATTTCAACAACAATTACTATCTTAATTAGTAATTTAACTCATGTAATGTTATGATGTCATACATTTAATGAAATGTTTCCTTCATGTTGACATGAAATATTACAGAATCCTCTTCTTCCTATCCAAAATTTATCGCACTAATTAATAATAATTTCATCATGTTTACTACTGTAAGTTTATTATTAGTATCAATGATTATAATTGAAGTATTATTGAAATTCATCTGTTTACTCTTGAATCCATTTATAAATACTCTTAATAAGTTTTTAATTTATTCTAATATTATCATTTCGCCACAATAAATTACAGATTAGAAAATATTTACAATGTAACTATCATTGATCATTGAAATGTTTTTCACTTTTTAATAATAAATTAAGCGGAATAAATTATGCATTAAAGGATCATAATAACAGTATTAGTATAAAAGATAAATTTTTACTGAAACATTTCTCATTTCCATTTCAAATACAGGATGAAACAACTAATTGGAATATTTTTTATTGCAATTGCAACTATTCCAAATGTATACTTTTGCAAGGTATGTTTAATAATTAATAATAATTAATCAATTGGAATATTTCATATTGCAATTGT